CATTTTTGTGGTGGATTGTACTGTGTAGGGTTGTGAGTGAATGTTTTTGCAAAAAAATGAAGTTTTTTTCATGAAATTGCCTTGTTATGGGCTTGTTTGTTGCCATACACCCCTCCTGTCATCCTGCCTTGGTATCGACCTAGAATATGGGGTCAAAGTGCACGGATTCTTATAAACAAGGCTGTACCTCGAGACTAGCCGTCCACTTTTTTCCGAAACTTGTTGTAGGTACATATTATTAAATTGGCTAACACGTGAAGGTGAGTTTGTGTGACAGAAACTTCGTAAATTAGAGATATGATGCCCATTTTCATGTCTGATTTAGCATATGTTTCAATGGAGAACCCTTTCAATGGTGTCACCCCTATAGTGCTTGGGGCTATGTATACATAGTGTTCTTCTCAACCTGATAGCTGTATTGGATTTGATAAAATCATATGTTTCAACATCATCTACAAGTACATATTGTTAGATGGTGACCTAATTTGGGCTATGTGGGTGCATTTTTTTGCCTTTTTGAGTCACAAAAGAGTGATTAATGTACAGTATAGTGTGCTCAAATCTGGGGCAGTGTGTAGATAATGATAAAAGCTGCCAGAAACACCTGCAAGAGGTTGAATGACTGCAAAAGTGGTACATATTCCTTACAAATGATGTACTAAGTGATTTATTAAGGTTTATACCATTGTGCTTTTCATCAATTAAAAACTGCCAATCAAAATGTGCCCTTCCCAGGAGCCACCCCCCCCCCCCAGCAGTCAGAAATAGCCATTTAAAGTCTTCACAGGAGCCAACTAAAGAAAAGATATTGCTACATCTGCCCTGAATGTGTTACTGGACAATGTTTTCTGTCAAAGAAAAGGGGTTTGGGGTATTGGGGGAACTTTTAGCTCTTTATTCTCAGCTGAATGTGTGTAAATCTTGGGAATTTCATCGGTACGGTATGTGAGGTAGCTTATAGAAAAGTTGTCAAAAGTAGAAAATTTCCTATTGAAAAGTTGTAATTTCACATCAAAGTAGTAGAACAGACTTTAGTTATTACTGATTGGCAGTTGTTGACAAACAGACCCCCCAGACATTTGAAAAAAGTCATGTGATATTGGTAGGTATGCTGTACAAGCCTTCAGTACAGGCCCAGAGTGTGGGCATACAACTACCCCTGAATTCCCAAGGGGGCTATCAATGAAGTTCATCTTTGGGAAATATGATCGCACCCCCCAGTGTATCAGCAAAGGGGGGTGGTTTTCCTTAACTCTTGTTCATCACCCTATAGAAGGGGTGACGCGGGTCGAAGGGCATGCGCACAAGTTGCTGGGTGAGAGACCCCAAAATTAAAATGAGCTAAAGAGCTTTAAAACCCTTTCTTGGGTGGGATTTTTGTTGAATTCTTGGCATTTTTGTGGTGGATTGTACTGTGTAGGGTTGTGAGTGAATGT